TTTACTGAAGTATTTACAAGACTACTCTAAGGGATGACCTCCTGTCAGTGTTGCTAGATAGTGGGATCCCTGTGCCTAGCACGGAGTTTGTGGAATAGACGAATACAAGTTTATAAATGAATGAATAAAATATGCAATTTGGACTGGCCATATGTTATAATTGTAGCCATTATTCATTCGCTCATGCAGGAATGAATTTTTAAGTAATCTTCAAGTGAACCAGAAATTACTGCCACCAAGTTCACAGTTCAGTGGGAGAAGCAGTAGAGAAGTAGGATAGCTGTGAGCCAAGACAAAGTATGGGTACCTAAGAGAGAGAGAGAGACCTGTAGATGAAGTAAGCCCACCTTGAGGACCCCTGCAAGAAATATCCCTTTGCTGTTGAGACCATGGTTTCAGAGCAATAGAATACATTTCTATCGTCAGTCTGAATTTCTCAAATGTGTGAACCCAATTAAGTTTTGGAACCAGGTTAGAAATTCAGTGATCAGAAGTAGAACTCCCTTCTACTTTCCTGATGTTCTGGGCCAAGACTGGGTTCCTTACATCCTCCTTGCCAGCAGTATTCAAGATTGGAACTGGTGCAGACAGACAAAATGTACCCATTGCAAACAAATTATGAGAGCTCTAGTTAAATTACAATGCTATCTATTTCTTCAATTATAGCACTTGTTTCATGCAAATCTCCCCAGACACGATGTTGACTTACAAATAAATGATGACCCACAGAACACCACGCTGAACCTCAGCAATCCATTTCAGTTTACACATGAGTGAGCGGAGCCCTGAGAGGGCAGATAGAGTTCACAGAGGACACACAGCGCTGGGTCAGAGACTCCTGCTTTCAGGACACAGCTTACATTGAGCTCCCTCAACTCTCTATTCCTGAAGTATACATTTTTGCACTAGTCAGGGTCTAACCAACATTCACGAAAGGATACCATGAAATCTAGCCCTGTATTCCTATCAAGTGGCTCCTTTTTAATGGCCAAGTCCTTGGGGGTTATTTCCCTGTTCCGTGTTTGGCTGGCTTCCTTTCAAGACACATGAACATTTGTGGGAGAAAGGCACAGATGAGTAGAGCTCTCTTTCTCTTCTATTCAGAATCAATTTTCACATCTAAATTTAGAGAAATGAGAGGTGGCACATGGCAGTTCTCTTTGGATTTCTCTTTCTAAAGAATGTCACAGGAGAGGCAAAGAGAGGGGTCTTGAGCAGAGGTCTAGGTTTCCATCGGGCTCTAACTGCACCTGCCCCTGGTGCTTCAGCTTCTTTATCTGAAAAAGAATCCCTGCTGTGGTTATTGTTAGGATGGGCACAGTACATGCATGGAATGAGGGCTCACTGCACCGTAGTTCAAACACCTTCCAGGTGTCCTTACACAAAGGTGACAGGCAGCTGTGGTTTGCTTCAAAAGGACAATGGTAAATTTGATTTCCAACTACTCCGGCTGACAACACAAAGATTATGTTTATTCCAAGAACACAAGGGCAATAAGGAAAAGCTATGCTGAATTGGAACCTCCAGTCTTAATATATATTAAGTGAAATAATGATCATGGTATAATTACTTCTGCTGGAATGGCGCTCATCTTTGTAATAACTCACTTAATCCTCTCTACAATCCCGTGAAGTTGCTATTAATACCCTCATTCTGCGGGGCAGGAGGTGGGGGGTGGAGAAGCTAATGTGCAGAGAGACAGGGTGCATAGCTCAGGGTCATGTTGCAAGGTCAGGGGAAGCGGCAATGAACACTCAGCTGTCCTGACAGTTCTACCCTGGAGCATGCTGCCAAGCAGATGAACCCGTTCTCCCCTGTTCTCTCACCCACCCTACAACCCGGTCTGACAAGAATGGAAATTCCACAAATAAGGGATATGTCGTAGCTCCTTAGAATCTCACTTCTTCCTCTGCTGCCCAGAGAGAGAGAGAATTCAGGGGCTCACATAAGGGTTAGCAATCAGAAAAGAGGAGCAGAGTCAGTCCTGGGGTCCTGCCCATAGTGCAGCGATGCCCCATGCTGCCTCTGGGAGAGGAGTCACTTTGAAAAGAAGATGATGCACTGAGATATTCACTTTGAATGGAAATGAAAGAATGAATAGGACCCGATACCCCGAAGTAAATATCACTGACTTTCTGCCCTTTCTTTTGATTATTCCTTGGGACTACTTTGATTGCTACACTTGTGTTCTGTATGGATGAGTGGACACACACACACACACACATCTGTATATATGTGAGTAAATATAGATTTCAAATTTTTTTGTATCAAAATACACTTACTTTTAAATTACATTTTCAACGAGCTATCAAAAATGGCCCTACTCTGTTCTGAGGACTAAGTCACATATGATCAACATGATCATTTTGTAAATTATGTAAAGATAAGCAGGAAAAAATTACCCAGCAGCTCAATATCCTTTCAAACTTAGACCAGATGTATTTTATAAAAAAGCAAAATAATTACTTAGGATTTTAGTAAGCATAAAAGCTACTAATAGACAGTCAATCTGTGATATCACACTCCTCAGCAGAGCAGCGGCAGGTAGATCCCATCCCTTTTTTATAGGTGTGAAAACTGAGGTGCATAGAAATTTGACAACTTCATCAAGGTGCTACAATTAATAAAATGGCAGGGCTAAGATTGAACTCTTTTTCCAACACCCATAGTCTTAGCCATGAAACCCTAGTGTCCATCTTGGGGCATTAGGGCTGTTGACTTTGAAGTCAGAGAAATCTTGGTTCAATTTTTTCCCGTTCTTAACAGCTGTGTGAATGTGAGTACATTATTTCCTTAGTCTCAGCTGCACCAGTGTGGGACACCCAGACAGTTACTGGCTCCTGGCTTCAGCCTACTGAGCCCAGCTGTTGTGGCCATTTGCTGAGTGCACTAGTAAATGGAAGAACTCTTTTACTCTTTGTAATTCTGCCTTTCAAATAAACAAATAAATGTTTTTAACAAAATTTCAAGGAAAAACTGGAATTGTAAGCAAAAATTTTAAAATTCATGCATAATTTTTCACAATTTGCATTTTTCATGAACTTGCTGAAGACCCCATGTACACACAGAGTAAACAATGACAAAATGGCTGCCAAAATGCAAGCAACATTTTGGAAGAGTATTAGTTTGTGGTCAATAACACAATGGCTGGCCTGGGACAACCTGTCTGTGCCAGGTGAGTGACAGAAGGAATGGTCTAAGAGCAACACACCAAACATAGCCCCGCTGAATCAGACCCTCTTCATGGCAGCCAAGGAGGAAGTCACTGGGAATGTAAAACACTCAACAGCCAATGATGGCAGCCTCAGACAAAGCACTGTGCTGTGGTATGCAGCTCAAAGTGAATGCATCTGGAGATAAACTTGTGGGGGAAATTGGGTCCTGAATCCCAGCCATATGATTACGGTGTTATCTGTGTGTGGTGACTACTCTTAATTACCATGTGCTGCTCTTTTCATACTCTGGAATTGGGCTGAATGGACTATAGAACATATTTCAAAAGACAGGCAATCTGTGGTGAGAGAAGGAACCCCCTTTGTCTTTGTACAAAGAGGCACACGTTTCAAAAACACAGCAAGAGTGGTGTGATGATTCTCCCAGGGAGGAATTCTGATTAGAAAAGGAACATGATCAGTTTGTTGTGTGTGAGAATGAAGGGGGAGGAAGAGAGCAGGAATGTGCGACTTGGCTGATGTTTTTCTTCACCCAAGAATACTGAAGGGGGGTCCCGCACTGAGGCCCTCCACTGTCTGAAAGCGATCGCTGTTTGTATAGGCTTCTTGTTGGAGGGAGATGAAGAGGGCCCAGAAGATATTCTGTGATGTCTTGGCAGTATAATAAAGGAACAATATATCTTACATGTGTGTTGCATCCTATAAGACATTTCATGACAAGGGGATTTTATGGTCAAAAAAGTTTGGAAAAGCTACATATTACATGGCTCCACCAAAAGACTTAATGCATTGCTTCCTTTATAGGTATATTGCTTCCTTTATAGGGTATATGCAGCCCATGGTCCACATAAGGCCCTTGAAATTCTTTGGTCCTGCCCTGCCAAAGTAACCACCTGCAGAATCCAAATTCAATAAATCTACAGGAGGTTAATTTTTAGGTTGGCCCATGACTGACATCATAAACTTCCAAATGGCCCTTGGCAGAAAAAAAGGTTCCCTACCCCTGGTAGAGCTTGGGAAGTCTCCCTATAACCAAGAACCCAGTTTACTTATGACTTTCTACTTCCTAAGTATATTTGGTCCATTTTCTTTTCCTTTCTTTACAAAACATTCCAAGTGATTTTTTAAAAAGATTTATTTATTTACTTGAGAGGCAGAGTTACAGAAAGAGGAAGTTTGCTAGTTCACGCCCCAGATGGCAGCAATGGCCAGAGCTGTGCTGATCTGAAGCCAGGAACCAGGGCTTCTTCGGGTCTTCCACGTGGGTGAAGGGGCCCAAGCACTTGGGCCATCTTCTACTGCTTTCCCAGGCTATCAGCATGGAACTGGATTGGAAGTGGAGCAGCCTTCAACCAGTGCCCATATGGGTTCGTGGTGCCACAGGTGGATGCTTAGCTTACTACGCCACAACACCAGCCACTCCCAGCAATGTGGATGCATAGGAATTCCTGTGTCGGTCCCAGGAATCAGGATCGCTGTAGCTTCATCCCGACTTTCACATAATGTACTAGGCGATACTAGGCAAGAGTGTCTTTGTCTTAGGTTTTTCACCAAGCGAATGTGCATAATCCTTTTGGCTTGATTTACCACTGCTGCTCTATACACAAGAAGCTTCCATTGAATACATCATCAATTTCAACAGCTAAAAATAGTAGCTGCTGTGGGAAATATTTGTGTCTTCTCCCAATTCTTACATTGGAATCTATATCCCAAAGTGATGATGTTAAGAGGTACAGCCTTTTTGGGTGGTGAGGTAGTGAGGGCTCTACCGCAGGAACTGACTGGTGTGTGGATGGGCCTTTGTGACATAGCACAAAGGCTCTATCTGTGAGACCCAGCCCCCAGCAAGTAACAGATCTGCTGGTGCCTGCTCAGACTCCCACCCGTGAGCAACACATCCCTGCTGTTTACAAGTTACCCAGTCTGAAGGGTGTTGTTATAGCAGCCTGCATGGACTGAGACAAAATGTAAGATGTTACTTTAGTTGTTGATAGTTATGTGCTGTTAGGGAAGTCTTTAGTTTACTCTTACACAAGAGAATCATTCTGCTATCACAGCAGTGCCTAACAACCTTTATTATTAATAGAGTAGGACCAGGCTGGCACCGTGGCTCACTTGGCTAATCCTCTACCTGCGGTGCTGGCACCCCGGGTTGGGTTGTTTCTCTTCCAGTCCAGCTCTCTGCTGTGGCCCGGGAAGGCAGTGGAGGACAGCCCAAGTGCTTGGGCTCTGCACCTGCATGGGAGACCAGGAGGAAGCATCTGGCTCCTGGCTTCAGATTGATGCAGCACGCCTGCCGTAGCAGCCATTTGGGGGGTTAACCAACGGAAAAGGAAGACCTTTCTGTCTAACTCTGCCTGTCAAAAAAAAAAAAAAAAAAAACACAAAAAACAATATATAGTGGCACCAGTAAATTAAGCCCTTAGAGCTTTATCGTGTACGTTTATAAAATATGGATGGTTCATTGCATGATGGCAAGAATATAACATGTAAAATACCCAACCTTTTTTATGTAAAAAAATTTTTTTTTGACAGGCAGAGTTAGACAGTGAGAGAGAGACAGAAAGGTCTTCCTTTTTCCGTTGGTTCACCCCCCAAATGGCCGCTATGGCCGGTGCTGTGCCAATCCGAAGCCAGGAGCCAGGTGCTTCCTCCTGGTCTCCCATGTGGGTGCAGGGCCCAAGCACTTGGGCCATCCTCCACTGCATTCCCGGGCCACAGCAGAGAGCTAGACTGGAAGAGGAGCAACCAGGACAGGACTGGTGCCCCAACCGGGACTAGAATCTGGGGTGCTGGCACCACAGGCGGAGGATTAGCCTAGCGAGCCGTGGCACTGGCCTAAAATACCCAACTTTAAAAACAGTACATTCACAAAAGTTGTTGATTTATTTTGCATTCTAGCGGTTTTCTAAGATGCAATAATAAAGTATCAATAATGAGTTTATCTGTAACTATATTCAGAAACATTTTTAATACACAGTGATAAAATTACTGTATTTTCCATGTGGTAAGGATCCTTCTTTGTGCTTTCCAAGTTGTTTTTATTTTTATCCATTCAGAGAAGCTATATAATGAGAGCAAGGCATAGAGTTAGTTAAGGGAAGAACTGGAGCAACAACCCAGCCCCACTTGACTCTTAAACTCATAATCTTAAACCTGGCATACAACTCTTCCTACTATATGTGAAAAGAAATCACAATTTATTTTCCACCCCAAATACTCCACATTGTCTCCTTTATTTGGGAGTATGAGGCCTTGACTGGCCTGGAGGAGTTAGACCAGTGGTGGGAGGCCACACAGAGTACCTGTACTTCATGAATATTTATGGTTCAGGGAGAAGTGACTCCGCTGGCTGTTCTAAACCTTAGACATAAATCCTCGTGCAGTAGCTGTTCTGGCCACAGACAGTTGCAGATTGGATCAGACAAGGAAAATCAGGCTTGGGAAAGGTTCTTTGAAGCTGCATAATCAGATTATGATAATTTCATCAAAGCCAATTTCAAAAAGCCAACATTTATCATTAGTTTGTGTACCTCCTAATTATTTTATGAGAGTTATCCCATGCAGGAATGATAAAAAAATGTAGCTTGAGAGAGCATTTTTAATGCAGTGTGTACACAACTAGATATATAGCAGTGGCATATGGGTCACATTAGCATTTGGGGCTTATTGGAGATGGTTTTCTGAAATGCCAAAGGAGGTGACATATTTTAAAAGACTGATATTAGTAAGAACACTACTTTTTCTCAGCCAGTTTCTGTAGTAACAATAATTTTTTTTTGCTCCAAAAGGGTAAACAACTAGTTGCCAAGAACTTCAAAAATTACTCAAAGCATGTAATACAGAGTTCAAAGCATTTTCCTCAATAGCATTCTATATACCAGAATTCCCAAAGACTTCATCATCATGAATGAAGTGACTGGCCAGTCTCTGTGTCCTCTAATGACTAAACCCCACCCTCTTCTGGAGGAGGGAGACCTCACCTTCCACCCAGTGTCCTAAGCCACAATACTGAGAATCGTCCTTGGCAACAATCCTCCTTAACCAGCAAACTCCAGTCTGTCGCTGAGACCTATAATAGATGCTTTCGAAATCCGTCTACTCGGCTCTCTAATTTCCTCCTCACACCCACTATCTCAGTTGAGGTGTTATTCTTCTTCCTTCCAACTAGCAGAATGCTATCATAAGTGGTTGAGAAAAGTATTTCATGATATGTGAAAATGATGTGCAACTAATATTTCATTGTATATAAATATTATCGGAACACAGTCATGTTTATTCCTTTGAGCACTGTCTGGGAGCAGTTGTGACAAGGAACACAGGGCTGCTGCTCAATCTAAAATAGTCATTCTCTGGCAGTGGTCGGATCAAGTTTGATGATCCAGTCTCAGAATCATTGGTGTAGCCCCTCTCTGCTCTCCCTATTTCTTCCTGTAGATTCTTCACACTAATGAGGATCTACCAGACCTTCACTCTCATACTCTTGATCTCTTGAGGAGGAGCTATCAAAGACTTGTAAGATGATCCCAAAGATTCAAGGCTTTTTGTAGCTGATGCTTGCTGGCTCTTTTGTCTTATCCAACACACTCCCCTCTTCCTGTTGGTAGTCCAGGTTCTAGGAACATGCTGTTTCTTAGGCCTTCTTTGTTTGGACACTCATCTTACTGTTGCCTACTTATCGTTGTAACTGAGCTCAAGTGAGACTTGGCCAGAATCCCTTCCTGACCCTCTACCCATCTGGGTGCCGCATGCATAAAGACTTCATCCAAATGTATAACCCTTTTGCAGACCTTCTATGATGATCACCATTAGCCCATCATTAAAATAGACATATGAGTACATTATAGTGATGAGGGAAAGTCCACAAAATATACTTCACAAATTAAATACTCTACACAGAGATAGCTACTTGAATTTTTAGTAAACATTGCATTTCTTCTAAATATTTTTTTATTTTTTTATTTTCTTTTTGACAGGCAGAGTAGACAGTGAGAGAGAGAGACAGAGAGAAAGGTCTTCCTTTGCCGTTGGTTCACCTTCCAATGGCCGCTGCGGCTGGCGTGCTGCGGCCGGCGCACCGCGCTGATCCAAAGGCAGGAGCCAGGTACTTATCCTGGTCTCCCATGGGGTGCAGGGCCCAAGCACTTGGGCCATCCTCCACTGCACTTCCCTGGCCACAGCAGAGAGCTGGCCTGGAAGAGGGGCAACTGGGACAGAATCCGGTGCCCCAACCGGGACTAGAACCAGGTGTGCCGGCGCTGCAAGGCAGAGGATTAGCCTAGTGAGCCACGGGCGCCGGCCTTCTTCTAAATTTTTATTAAACTAATACTTTCCTCTAAAGAAACCACTTATAATAAGCTAATTAATTAAAAGCTGAGTATCAAGAATAAAACTGATCTGTAATTTATAAAATCAGATAATAAAATTTAGTTCTTCTCTAGCTTAGAGTATGAAACATTTTAAAACTATTACCTAAAGTAATAGACTAAAAGTATCACTGTGGAAAACAGTTCCTCTATTTCTTGTATCTCTTCTTCTTTTACAACAATCTCTCTGCTTTTTATTTTTGCTTTCTCTATCTCTTCCTCCTACCCAGACTCATTTTTGACAAGTTAAATGGGCTTCTCTCAGGGCTCATACTCTATGTAATAGGTTTTTGCCAAAGCCTCAAGTTGCTGCAATAATTACAGTAAATCAGTTGGATGGCTATTTTACAAATGAGGGGGGAACAGATCAATTACAGGTTGAGTGTATAGTGGTAGCCTTAGCCCAGTTGTACTCAATTTTAGCCCCAAGCCATTTTTTAAGTTAAATGTCTCAGTGCCTAACTAATTGATCTAGTCCACACAGAAATGGCTTTTTTGCCTTCTTTTATCCAAGTCTAGAAATTTCATGAAATCAAAATCTTTGCTGCTGGGGAAGCATCACTCCTCTACTTTAATTATCTAGCAAAGTGCAGTGATGGAAATGTTTGGAGGCTCCCTTGAATGTGAATGTGCATCTCCCCCAGTATGCTTACAAGACTTTGTCTTAAGTAAATAATCCGAGTGAAGAACATAGATGTATGCAAACGATGCTCAACATACACTTACGTTAATGACACTTTGGAGACCACCTAGATCACTGTTTAAACAAAGCACGATGTATCTACTAATTGCAATATTATTATATTGACTATATCATGACATGAAAATGTTCATGATAGGAACTGATGTCTGATGTCAATGATCATGGGCCACACGCATGAGCATGCTTTGCAAAATTCATGCACTCTGTGATTAGGATGGTTGGTTTATGGGGACTTTGCTTCAATGTCTAAATTTTCTGTGATATTGCTGTATTATCTTTAGGATTAAGCTTTTAAAAAGAGGGTTTTTAATATGCCAGCAGCTTTGAGTCTCTTTCATGGTTATTGCTAATATTGAGGATTTGGATTAATATATTTGGAATGAAGAATGGAAGGAACAAATAGACAAAGAGTAGAGATTACAGGTGAACAAAGTGCTGTTTGGGGAGGCAAACTCAAAGGGCTCTACCAAAATGATATGGAGGTGAGGTACAGGGAAAGAAACTCATCACAGGACCTTAAGAATTGGAAGGACCCAATGGTCACCTAATCCCACATTCCTATCTCTCTTGGAACCCTAATAAAATTCTGTCTGGCGTGTCTAAAAGCAATGTCCTCATGGTAACAGAAGTTCGAAACACAGTTACTTGTGGAAGGGGGTCAATGGCGAGTAGCGGCAAGGGGGGCTTCTGTGCCCATTCACACTTTGGATTTGGGTGGCTGTCTTGCTAACTGAGGTATAAGCTTTTGATTTTATGCGTTTTCTCTATATATGTAATACTTTAGTGAAACTTCCTTAAAATGAACTTTGTACTGTAATAGGAAACTCAGAGGAAAGATGGATTGAGAATTGGGTTTGTAAGCCACCTGAACACTCAAAATATGCTGAGAAATTCAATAGGAGAGTGTTTTCATATGTATTATAAATCATATGTAATTTATTCCTCAATTGTTATAGAAAAATTTATATAACTATATAAAGAACTTTTTAGTAATCTTATTAGTTCTAGATTCTAAACATCTAACAAGGAGCTGGTGTTCTGGTACAGTGAGTTAAACTACCACTTGCAACATCAGCATTGCATATTGAAGCATTGAATTCAAAGCCCAGTTGCCTTGCATCAAATCCAAGCTCCTGCTAATGCACCTGGAAAAGCAGTGAAAAATGATCCAGCCACCCATGTGGGAAATCTGGATGGAATTTGGAGCTCCTGTTTCTGCCCGGACCATCCCTGGCAATTGTGGCCATTTGGGAAATGAAGCAGCAAATCAAAGATGCTCTTCTGTCTTCCTCTCTCTATCACTCTGCTTTCAATACATACCTATATATATATAGTTATGTTTTTATTTCAAATACATATATATGTGTGTATATATGTGTATATAATATTTAACATATCATTAGTGAATCTCACAGTTATTTTATCACAGAACTATGAAAAATCTGGCAAAGAACATAATTTTCATCTGTTCAAAAAGTGTAAAACATAACTCATTACAATAGAAGTTAACTTATCAGAAGGAAGAATGAGCTTTGAGGTCAAACTGGATTGAAATAAAAACGCTATCCGTATACTAAACCACACTCAGGGAGAGTTGGTATTCATGAATGGGGCTATGAAATGGAAAACTAGGACAGTATTAAGTAGTCAGAAGAAAGGTACCTAGGGAATCCCGTGTTTTTCTAGGTATATTTGTCTATTATTTCATGCAATGTTTAATACTGGATAATATTTACATTTAGTGCTTTAATAAATTCTAATATATTAATATTCAATTTGAGAAAATCATTTTAAATTTTACTACAGAAAACTATACTTATTTTTTTGGTCATAGGATCATAGCCAATATACAATGAAAGCATGTAATAATTGACAATACATTTAAGTGAAATAAATAGCTTCTTAAAGGCTGGGCTTACATGCTTCTGTTCATAAAATAAGCACCAATATCACAAGGTTGCATGCTATCTACAGAGCACACAAATGCATACATGCAGATAAATATGGATGTTTTTCATTAAATTATTCATTCTTATTCAATAGACACCTATTAATTGGTCATTGTTTTCCAGTCACTCTGCAAGATATTGGTCAACAGAGTTCAAAATAGAGAGCCTCAATCCTGAATGAACTCATAGTTTTCTGAAACACCAAAAAATGCAAACAATTATCCTATTTGTGGCAGGATAATTAAGTATACTTGGAGACATCAAAGGTAACTTCACTGAGGAGGTGATATTTTATACAGCAACTTGAAGGGTAAGTAAGATTTTGCTGGGTAGGGAAGCAGGCCTATGAGCAGCGGTACATGGGCATAAGCATAGACAATGTTGGGGACTACTTGTGTTTTAGTTTTAAGAGTGAAGGGCAAATTAGAGGGTGGGAAATTGGCAGAAGGGCAGGAGAGCATGTAACTACCAATGACCTTGGTGAAGACACAGAAATGAACTGGCAAAAGGCCATGGGGCATCATTGAAAACTTGTTTCAACAAGGTGATGACAGAATTAGAGGTTTGTATCATAGTTAGCATTCTGATGGTTGTATTAGAGAGGTTTGGAAGAATCTCTGGGGAGTATACATCTTTTGCAGATTTTGATAAAACCAAAAAGCAGTAAGTGACCCACAGGAGAGGTGACACAGGCTCAGAGAGTAGATAGGAAAAGAACAGAGATTTATGACTAGTTTGACAAGGGAAGTTGGGGACATGTAGAAACCTAGGACTGCTTCCATTTTTCTGGTTTCCAATGCAAAATAAGGAGTATGGGAGGAGAAGATTTCATGGGTGGGGATAGTCAATGTTTCGATTAGAGGGAGAACTTGACTTTGAGGTACACAAAGAGCATCTAGTCTGAAATGTCAAGTGAATAATTGGAAATATACCGGTCTATAAGAAAGGTGTGATGTTAAAGATACAGAAAGAAATTTGAGTTATCAGTCCATGAGTAGCAGCTAAAGTCATAATGGTCAATAAATTGCCCAGGAAGGCAGAATGAGAACAGAGGGTCAAAAACAGAACTCTGAGAGACAGCAACATTAGCAAAGTAGGAAGGGAACAGGAACTTGCAAAGGAGATGGAGCAAAATCACACGGAAGTTTGGAAAGCTGGGAAAGAGGTCATGGAATTTAGGAGTGAAGAGAATATTAACAAGGAAGATACTGTCAAGAATACCCAGTACCTTAGGGCTGTCACATAAGGTGAGGACTGAGAAATGTTCACTAGTTTTGCAGCATGAGGTTATTCTAGAGTCTTAGAGAAAAGCTATTCCATCAGAGCTAGCAGGTAATTTTCAAAAGTATGAGGGCTGATAGACTGTAGAAGGTAAAATAAGGAAACAACTAGAAGAAAACTAAAGAGATGAAGTTGAGGTTCAGGAAAGTTAAGAGACACTGACTGATACTCCTCCAGAACATTGAATTTAAATCCAGATACATTAGGTTTCAAATACACTTTCATTGATGGTGAAAGTCATTCAAGATTCTAACATGAGGCCAGACTTAGACGTAAAGGGGAACATCTTTATAGCAGACACTCAAATATGAACAGTAGAAGGATGGTGGAGCATTATCCCTGGGTCCTCCTTGTCTGTGCCAGGTATTACCTATACAACCTCCAGTGAGCATTTTAACCTTTTCTGTGTTTACTTCTACATCTTTAAAGTCGGTATATTGTTATTTAGAGAATTAAGTATGTTGATACAGGTGACACACTTAAAAGAATGTTTAGTGTATAATAAATGCTCACAAATGTGAGACAGTTGAACAGAAAAAAAATGAAAGAAACCCTTGGTAGGGAGTTTTCACGAGCGACATATTCAACATATGCTTATGGATCTGGACTCAGTGGAGTGCTGCCTACATCCAGCGCATTGTCAGGTCATGGTGTCTGGAGCCCACAGACAGCTACCTAATCCTGAGATAATGAGCGTTAGGAAACAACACCTGCAGTTCCTTTGTTGTATGGACATATTTTTAAAAGAGGGAAAAACACCTTGGAAGAAATTATAAAACACAGATCACTTCCCCCCTTTAATTCAAAGACTGCTCCATGTTGAACAAATGTGTATTTAGGCAGTTGATGGGGTTAAGAAAGACAGTCTAAGTACAGTAGAACTCATTCAGAAGAATATCATATTGCTACTGACCAGATGTCTCATGGTCTGAACCACACTGGACTGACGACTTAACCACAATGAAGCTCTGGATGCAGGAATAAACCTATTAAAAGAACAGCATGTTCTGATAAAAGAACACTGATCCTGTTAAAGAGCTCTGTGTGCTGGTAAGATAGTGACCATTCCACCAGGGTCTGCTCGACTTGTGCCAACGTGGGTTCACCAGCATGAAGGACGAAAAACTGAATTTGGATAGAGTTTTGTGCTGTCAAGTCAAAGTTTCAACAACTGGTCAAATGTGCGTGCTACCATTAATTAAGAGCTGGGCAAGCACCAGGTTTCATACAACAAAAGCTGACAGGAGGGGCCAGCACTGTGGTGTAGCGGGTAAAGCCACTACCTGGAGTGCCAGCATCTCATATGGGCACTAGTTCAAGTCCCAGCTGCTCCACTTCTGATCCAGCTCTCTGCTGTGGCCTGGGAAAGCAACGGAAGATGGCCCTAGTCCTTGGGCCCCTGCACCGGCATGGGAGACCCAGAAGAGGCTTCTGGCTTTGGATCAGTGCAGCTCTGGCTATTGCAGCCAAATGGGGAGTGAACCAGCAGATGGAAGGCGCTCCCCCTCCACCTCTCCTTCTCTGTTTAACTCTGAATTTCAAGTAAATAAGTACATCCTTTAAAAACAAAAGTCTATACAACTCTCTCATATTAGGTAAACTTTTTTCACAGATGGGAACCCTGAGCTTTAGCAAAGTTAAGTACATGCCCTGGCTCACATGCTAATAAGACACAAACCTCTCCTGAAAACCAGTTCTATATGGTTGGGAAGTCAACGTTTTGCATTACAATTAGCATCTTCTGCCGAGTTTTCTGAGCACATCAGTACAGTGCCAGGTGGGGTAGGGGCACCTTGTGACCCCAGTTCCACTAAACATATATCCTTCAGTCCCACACCGCCCCATGTGAGGCCTCAGCATCCTAGAGGAAGTAACATGTCTCTATCCTCCTTAACCAGGAAACATTAACCACAGACCTGCTGGTTTCTCAGCAGTGTAAGGTTGCACAGCTCGCCCCTTAAAGTTATAAGTAAATACAAAGAGAAACTTGAGCCCTGTTTCATGAAGAGTTACTATTTCCACAGGCAAGGAATCCGTACCCCTGCCCCATTTTGGACACATTTGCATCATGCATGGGTAACTCCTAGGCACAGGGAATGGCTTCAGGCTGCTCACAGCATGCACACCCACATCTCATAAACACTTCCAGAGCTGTTGCTTGGCCTGGGCAGGTTCTGTCCAAGCATTTACATAGCTGTCACTGAATTATCACAACACCACTATGGGGTCACTACCACCAGTATTCCCATTTTACAGATGAGGAAAGAAAGGTTCAGAGGGTCCAGTTAAATCTACTTTATTCCCTTAAGGAACTTGACAGTCTTGAATGGAGGAAAAAAATATTCTAATTTGTTATATCCTATCCGTGAGGGTCTGCGGGATGCCTCTCCTGTCTGAGGCGGCATCAGGCTGTTGTCTTGTGCACTTGACAGCATTTTCATCCAAAGCAGGTGCTGACTTGAGCTTCCAGACAACGCCTGTGAAATTCTTAGGAGCTGTGCTGTGACGTACAGACCTGCGTCGGTGACTGTGTCCTGCCTCGCGTTTCCCTGCTGTGGGTCCCAATTCTCAGAGCTGGCCTTTGCCTTTCCTTTTCTTCTTAAGGAAGAAAAAACTGGAGCTCAGATCAGTTGGCTAACTCGCCTCAGGTTGCTCAGCTGAGTGCTGCACACTGAGCATCTGGTTACAAGGCCAGTTTTCAATTCTGGGCCCTCTCCCTCACACGCCATGGCGAGTTGGGTGAGGCTTTGAAGGTGGGTTGGGACCAGGCTGTGCATCACGTTGAGTGCCACAGATAGTGCTTGACCTTCATCCTGAACTCAGTGGCAGGGGTGTGGCCAGGTCGTTGCCTTGGCTGCCATCTGGAAAGTGAGCTGGAGGCAACGCCATGCAAGTTACAGAGGTGCAAGAGCTGCCTTGGCGAGTGAGGATGCAGATCAAGGCCGGGGAAGCAGCCAGGAACAAGTCTCACGTAGTAAAGGACATCGAAAGGCTACCCACCAAGGAGACAAATTATTGTGCCTTGCCACTGCAGGGAGATCCGGAGGGGGAACACTGAATGCAGTGGCTGCCATCGCCTCTGGCAAACACTGTCACTATTGTGCCAGTGACAGCTGTCGCTCCACTGGGTGCTGTATTTCTCTGGCCCCAAGGGTGCTGGGACTTTGTCTCTTAGCCAGGCCTTCCTTCCACCTTCTTCCAACCTAACTCAATCACCTCTTAAGTCACTAAGCCCCATGGTCTTCAGAGCTAACAAGAATCCCACAGAACACACGAGAGCACCCTCCCCTCCCCTGGAAGCCCTGTTTCACAGTGAAGGAGGGTGAAGCGCCGCAGGTGGGCAGAGCGGACTCCGAGGCTGACAGTTGAGCACTGGGAACATTTTCCTTGATTCCTGGAGCCCACTTTGGATCAGACTCCTCTCCCTGCATTCACACAGCTTGCTCTTTACTCTATAACCTGGCACTGCCTTTGCTATTTTCACACTGTACTCCAGTCCCTTTACCCCCACCTGGCTATGACCTCCCCAGGGAAACATGTCTATTCCTGGGACTGTGTTTCCAAAGTCTCCGTATCACACTTCATACACTTTAAGGTGTCTTGTTTAAAACATTATCTATCATTCCTGTTAAATGCTGGAATATTAAAAGGATAGAGGAAATTTTAAATTGTATCCCATTTCCATCATAGACAACAGTGTGATGGGTATGGACATAAAGGCTGGGCTGTATCCCTAATGATTCCTTAGTATCTGGCCCATGCTGGAACTCAATCAATATTTAAATAATTAACATATCACTTTCTGTATTCTATTGGTGGGCACAATACCTGGTAAATAGTAGGTGCTCACTATATACTTCCTTAACATTTGTATACCATCTCTTTATGTGGTTTTGAAAATTTGTGTTTCCACACCCAAAGTGTGATTCTTAAGTGGATAACACATTTTTCTGAGACAAACGAAATCAGCTATTTAAAAATGGCCTCCAGTCTAGTAGTTGGCATTCCAGCATGACTTATTTACCATAT